CGCCCCCCCAGCCGCTCCGCCCTGCTTGCCAGCTCGTGCTGCTCCCCACGCGTTGGGCGCCCGTAGCCCTGATGGGGAAGCCCAGGGCCAGGCACACGCTGACTCTCCCTGTTCTCACTGTCCCCTTCCAGGGCTTCGTTCCTGCTGCCATCCGGCTCGTTCCTCACACCGTCCTCACCTTTGTCTTCCTGGAGCAGCTACGTAAATATTTTGGGATCAAAGTGGTCACCTGAGTAGGAGGGATGGGACCCACCCTCGCCCCAGGGGGGTGAGCATGCGGGTCCCTACTGAGATCCCAGAACCCCTCTCTGCTGTCTGGGGCCAGCCCCGCTCCCCCTGCCCCCCGTCCCCACTCCTGTGCCTTGCCAGTGCCTGTGGTCAGCCAGTCCCAGACTCTCCTTTCTTCTCTCACCCCCATTCTCAGCATCTCCGTTACCTCGGGGATAGTCTTGGGCCTCTTCTCCCCTCTGCACTGTTGGTTTGGGGTTTTTTTTCCCAACTGGCCACAAGTTCTGCCCTTTCCCCCTCAGCCCTGTCCCTTAGCGCCTCCCGGAGCAGGACTGTGCTGTCCTGGGGAGGATGGGGGACCCAGCCTCCGGCTCTGTGCCTGGTCACAGAGCCTATGGGGCTGGGGGCCAGTGACCATGCTGTGGTGGGGCCTGTGGTGGGGGCAGTGGGGCTCGGGGCTGGCTCACCCCCAGCCTCTCCTGCAAGCAGCAAGGGGAAGTGCAGGTTTAGCACAGTGTGGCCCCCTCCTCCCTTAGTGCCTCTGGCCCCACGTGCTCCTCTGCTGACCCCAGTGCCACCTGGCACCCCGCTCTGCTTCCCGGCCTCCCCACACCCCCTGCTTCTGCTTGGCCAAAACTCCCCAGCGCCCAATGGCTGCTGGGCTCTTCAGGGATTGCGCCTCATACCAATGATGATGGAGAGCGGAGCCCTTGGCTGAGGGGCAGCTGCTCGGACCCCCTGCCCCACCAGCCAGGCAAGGGCTGGAGCCCTTCTCACCTGCTGTGCCCTCCCACGGTGCTTGCTCACCCTCCACCAGACCCGGGGGGCATCCGTCCAGCACCGCTCTGTGGCCTCACGCCCTCGACCCCCTCCCCCTGCACCACCCTGCGTGCGGGGGCTGCAGGCACCAGCCCCTCTGCCGTGTGCACCCCTGCGCGTGGTGGCCCCGAGGGATCAAAGAACTGGAATATCTGTGACCTGAATATATAATAAACAGTGGAACAAGCACAGGGCCTGGTGTGGTGCTTTGGGGGGGGATCCTGCACCCCCTCCCGCAGCGGGGGGCCTCAGGCTGGGCACTGAGCTCCCCGGGAGGAGAGCAAGGCTCAGGGCTACACCGAG